AGTGGTTGAAGACAGACAGAATTCAGAGCTTGAACTTTTTGTGAGCACGGACGTTACAATCGAATTGTCTTTGGAGGCACAACTCACCTCTCATACTCGCTTTCCACCGCCTCAACGCCAGTTTCAAGGGCAGCAGAAGAAACAATTGGTGCACGTTTGTATTCAAAATGAACGCATTTCGGTGCTTGAGGGTTGTTGCGCGCCCAACAGCTAGCGCATTCACACTCCTCAGACCGTCCATGACACGAATAGCAGCACCACAACGGTAACTTGGCTTCTCAACCCACCCCTTCTGGCAAAGCTAATCCATACGTAGGATAGCAAGTTCCTCACAATCTCGCACTCTCTCCATTCTCGCCCCCCGGCGCCCAATGCTCGCCCGAACCTCCTTGCCCTCCACCCTTCCAGCGCCCGGTACCTCTTCGTCGCTCCTTGCGTCCTGCTCTGGGTCACTTGATCTAATAGGAAAGATCTCGGCACATCCGGGAATGGGTAGTATGCAAATTCGGTGTGGGCCAAGAGATACATACAACCCCTCACATCTGGTCAGGAAAAGGAGACATGGTTTTCTGAGCAGGATTCGGACGAAGAAGGGACGGAAGCTGTTAATGAGGAGGTTGAAGAAGGGACGCTGGAATCTGAGTCATTAAGGGGTTATTGTGTCGAGAGCGTTCATGCCGCGCATTGAGCCTAGAAATTGGTATATATTGACTTAGCAACAGGGCTAACAAGCGTGGCTCATCATGTTCTAGCTGTATAGCTATTGTACTACTCACCCTAGAAACGCTAAGAATGACTGTGTGCTTCTTTCGATGTGAATGGTCCAATCTCTTTACCCTTCTCCTCACTCTGCTTCTCTACTGCATCCTTCCACGACTCCTGCGTGTCAGCCTCAAGAGCCTCGACAAGGCTCAACTCCTCTTCAACCTTATCAATCTGCTTTAGGATAAACGCAATCGTCGCATCTCTCGCCTTGTCAACCCTTGTCAATGCATCCATACTCATCTTTCCATACACCTGCGGCTTCTGTGGTGTTGGAGGTGCAGATTCAATGTCCTCCAACTTCGCCTTCTTCTCCGCCAATAATTTCCTCAACGCGAAAATATTGAAGTCTCGCTCTTGCAGGTTCCTAACTAGCTCTTTTCTTGTTGCCTCGTCGTCCGTCTTCTGCTTCTTGGAAGCTGCCTCTTGTGTAGCTTGGGTAGAGGCAACTTTCCACTTCCAAATCGCTTCTTTGGCGCAGTTTTCTATGTGTGTGAATCGAATTGGTCCGATATTTTGACCGCCATACCATCTTGCTACTACAACAACACCTTCGGCTTCTGTGTCTTTCAGCACATTTTGGAGTCTACCCCCGGCCCACTTTTCACCATCGTCATCATGCCCTAAATCATAGAGTATCTTTGTATCTGGCATGAGTGATCTTTGGCGTGAGCGCTTCCGCCATGCTGCAATCTTGTGTGTAGCCGTTCTGAATTCAGGAATTTGTTGGAGCGCTTTGACAGAGAGGCTGGGGGAAAATGCGCCAATGAATGTGGAAGTTTGTTCATCTACTTTTGCTGAATTGAATATAACTGGTATAGGTGCCGGTGAACCTGAACGCTCCCTTTTCAATGCCATCTCTTATATTACAGATTGAATCAAGAGAGAGCAACCTTGAGTTGATAGTCAGGTGGTTGGGGTAAGAAGGAGAACGGCCAGCGTGGGCAAGTCTAAGCGATAACAAATTCCGAAGGGAAGTGGTGCCGAATGTGCTGCCAACCTAAGTGCCCAGGTACCTCCACCAACAACATCTGCATTCATCATGTCCGTAATTACTCGATGTGCGTTAATGCAACTACCATATAAGAATCCCTGTTTCTCGATAGACGACATGATGCAAAGCCAACTGATTGTCTGAAGGATAAGCTTCGCCTTGCATGAGTTACTCTTTCTTCAAGTCCTTGGTGCAAATTGATGCGTGTTTTGCTTTCGCGCACGAAATCTTGGACTGAGGACATTTTCTTGAACATGAAACTGGACAATATCGAATCGGCTTGTAGGTTCAGAGGTATTTGAGGGTGGGTTGCGTTTCTCTCACCTCGTATTTCGCTCCCAATGATAACGATTTATGAAATGAAACCTTTGTTTGCTTGCTTACTAATTTACCTTCTTTTACCTTCACAATGTCTCTAAAATTTAAATATCACTATTAGGTACCCTTCTTATTTGCTTATAGGACACACATACTCCACCCTTTCCCTTCCCATCAGCAACCGCCGCTTTCCGAATTTTCACTCTTCGACCGCGGAGGGAACGCCTAGAATCACTGATAACAAACAAGGTTCTTTGATCGCTGAGCCCGTTAAAGGCTTTTAATATCAAACACTCCGACGTTGGCGCTGGGAAGGTTTAAATGCAATCGTGACTTACAAGCCCCAACTCACTTCCACATTGCCCCTCAGGCGTCGGCCTTAAACAAATTCACTGAAGGTATTGTCGCATCAAGTCATGGTACATCCATTTAAATCGCTTGAAAAGCCAGCGGTTTCCCACCGTGTCAGCCGCTGAACTTCGGCACCAATCTTGATTCTCACCACGAATATTACCTCCTCAACACCCCTGTTTGACCCTCACTTGCTTAACTCTTCGGCTTGCTTGCGGATCTTTTCGAAATATTACTGACTGCAATTTCCAACGAGCGCAGATCACTATGGGTCGCTTTGATACACTCAACGCTGAGACGCAGGATCTTATTAACTGTCTCCTCCCCGCTTTGGCGGCCTCCTTCGGTGTCTCTGACGCTGTCAACATCATACCCGAAGACATTCGGATGCGCGCTTGGGACTGTGATCGTCGTGATCATGTCAAAGGCAAGACGGAAAATGATCCGCGGAACTGGGGCGTTCAGTTTCTGAAAGACTTGATGGCCATTTCTCGCATCAAAAAGGGTGACCTGAATGCCTTCGTCACCGATCTACGCGTGAAGGTGGGTAATCATGAGGCCAAACACCCATGGTGCCGCCTAGCCGATATCAGAGAGCTCAAGGATGAATACGAGAATCCAAATCGCCAACAGGAGGTCGTCGACGAGTCTGCCGGTACCTCCTCAACCGACTCATACTTGGAGGAGTTACATGAACCAGACCTTCCAAAAGGTACAAAGCGTAATCGCCACGAGGTCTATGAGGCGCGTGTTCAGGAGTCTCACAAGAGTCGCAAGTGTACGTCTCACACTCTTTCGCTTGTGCAACTACTAAATACTTCCAGACGGAAATGGGCGCCTCCGTCGTGCCGATGATGGTGGCTACCTTCGCAAGGAAAAGTCCAAAGGCCGTAGCAAGAGCCGCCATTCCGCCGAGAGCGGGAGTTCTAGCAACAACTGTAATCCTATGCGTCGTCCCAGTAGGACCATTCAGTCAGACGGCGAGAGTTCTGCTAATGAGACGGCACTCTTTGCTCATCCGACACCTTCGTTCTCTATGTCTCCTGTGCCTCTTCAAGCACCCTCCATATCTGATATCGCCAAAGCCGTAGCCCGCTCCGATGAGCCACTTGCTGTCCAAAAGCTTCAAGCTGAGTTAGAGGTGGCCGAAGCGGAGCTCAAGGCCGCTCGTCTCAAGTATGAATATATCCAGGCTAAGGAGCAGGCCGAGAACCAGACCAAATAAGACAGCATAGGCACTGACTTCATTTGACATTATCTCAACTAAGCATTATCAAGGTTGCTATTGCTTGAGTCGCATTTTGGGAGACGAGCGTATTTATATCAACCGATATGTGATAAGGCTGGGGGCTGAGGTCAATGGATAATATTGCTTCGAATAGGATCGGCGTTTGGGATACCAACGATGTGATAGCCGATGAACTTCGCACTCCCCTTTTCGAGGTAATCTTGATGGTATTTTAGCTATTCCGAAACATATATGTCATTAAAATCCAATTTTTGAAGTCTCTTGATTTTCTAATATCTTCTAATGCTATATTTACTCCTTCCGAGACTCAAATAAACTGCCCCTATGGAGCAATTTCTATAAGAGTGTACAATTGGAAAACCTGTGTCCCCGTCTTATTTTGTTTCTTGAGTGAGCTTTCTTATATAATTCATCTCAAAATGCTCTGTGCGTAGTTGCCGTACGTCTGACTTATGAATGAAGAAATTTCTCTCTGTTTTGACTCTGCTTGTAGAGGCACACCATTAGAATGTGTGGCGACTTAGCTTACCTTCGTGGTGTCCTGTATACTCAGGAAAGTTTTTGAGAACCGTGCCTTCTGCAACCTATCCTTTTCAGCCTTGCGCCCGGGATTTGTTCTAGCGCTCGGTCAATAGGAAGAACTATCGGTATGAGAAAACATAATTTCTCTTTCACAACATGTAATTTTCGTTGAGTGGAGGCACTGTTAAGATACAATAAATGGTTGTCAATTCTAGCCCTTGCGGGAGAAAGCGAAATGTGTGGCTGAAGGCGGTCTGCTGAATGCAAACAACAAAAATAAGAGAGGAGTATGATGAGAACTTGGAAGCCTCATCAGCCTTCAAGTTGACTATTATTATCAAAATCCATCATAATCTTCAGCCTTCTTCGCTTTAAGCATAGTCTTTTAGCTAGGAGCGCTCTATTCGGCCGCGTAATCCTGACCCGAGATACACCCAGGTAGATTGAGGTTATAAGTCTAAAGTAGAGAGTATAGTACCTATGTAGGTAGTAAAGTATAGTTTATACCTACCTAGGTATATCTTGGATTAGGATTACGCGGCCGAATAGGGATTTTTTGCTGCTAAATATGGATTTCACGCGGCCGAATAGAGCGCTCCTTAATGATCACGCTTCACTGTATTTCCCCCGAAGCACAAAAAACATAAAGTTATAAGAAGCCTCGTCCAGGCTCAAGAACACTTCTGGCTTTTCTAAAAGTGGGTAGGCATCAACTGGACCCAAAATCAGAATACCTCATCCAGCCCTCTTTTATTCACCAAAACTACAACTTCACCTATGAGAACAACAGCAAAAAGTACGTGGTTCCGACACCGGGAATTGAACCCGGGCCTTGTCGGCACTATGAAGATGATTTCATATGATGGTTAGTTCATGTGAAGGTGAATTCAATGAGAGCGACAAATCCTAGCCACTAGACCATATCGGATGAGCTGATATAAGAAAAAGCCATTTAGATAGAATACATTCTACTAGGTTTAGGAAATCAACAGATACTTAGAGTCTAGGTAGCATCACAAAGGCTACGCGTATGGAGCTGATGGGTTTCGGTAGTGTGAATGATAATTTGAAGTGGGACACAATCTTAGCCAGCCGAGCAACTTTTCTTTCAGCCCCACATTCCGTTAATATCAGCAACTCTTGTCCGAACCAATTGAATCTTTCAAAGTACACTATTGTATTTTTATTCAAGGAGAAGTTTGTAGCCTGTCGTAACAACAGGACTTCGATTTCTAGGCAAATCGGATCGCTTTCGCGATTAATTACGATGACAGCATTCTGCCTTATCGGTATATCTAGCTAGCCAAAGTGCCTTTCGACTCGACCGTTGCAATCTACCCATTTGAAATCATCGGTTTGGTCACCCCCACAAGTATCTTTGCATGTGGCGCACGTGATCGAGCCGTTGCCGCCTCCTTTTCTCTTCAAGCATCCAGTACACTCCTTGCAAGCGCACCATCTTTCTAGTTCACCTTCTTCTTGATTCGCCGTCTTTTTCTTATGCCTACGACGAAGCCATAGGATGCAAAGCACTAGGAAAAGGATCCCCAAAACCCCAAACGCAGTACTCAGACCATATGCGAGTGCTAGTGGCGACTTTCCTTCGTCCGCTGCGACAAACGCCACGAGGTGCACCGCCAGCACCAGTCGTATCGCGGCTGTCGATTCAGGGCACATTTCGGAAACAATTTTAGACGACGCCACTCGATTTATTGTGAGTCGGAGGCAGCGCGAGAGGCCAAGATTGGTAAAAGGGTTACAATGGCCTAAGATATGTCGCAGCGAAGAGAAGGGTGAGCGTAAGCATATCAGGCAGCTAGGCGTAGGGCTTGTTTTATGTCCAGCCATTTGCTCTGACGAAACCTGCGGACCTGACGACATACCAAACTCAAAGAGGCAGGTGCTTTTAGTATAAATACATTGGTCGATCCTAAAGCAGGGCTAGGGTGAATCAGGACAACGCGCGAGAACTATCGAAGGTGTAAGCAGTAGATACTGCGAGACTTTTTTTCCCCATTGTTGTTGTAAAACATCGTTCCTATTTTGGGAACTAAGCAAAACCGTCAAGCGCCATATTGCCACCATGATATCGTCTGAGCCACAATTTAGCTTAGCCAAAGACAGTCGGATTCATCACCAAGGCAAAGCTACAGTAAGGCTGGACTCCCGAAGCATAAACTACGCAAGTCCCAGCATGATACTTGCAAGAGAGTGGAAAACAATTTCAAAAATTGTAGGTTGAAAAAAAAAGATGAATCGCAACACGAACCAAGTTTCTACTCGGCAACCGGGGTATCTGCGCGCTCTTGGGACATTTTGGATACTGGTGTCAGCCCAAGGAGCTTCATGCCGTTTTCCAGTACGATCCTCGTCGCCTCAAGTAATGTAGCGAGGCCTGGAGTCACCTTTGCTTCTCCGCTGAGACACTCAGAAAGTTGTTCTGTGACACTAACCAAATATATCACAACACCTGATGGCTCAAGTGAGTGATACGTTGCGTGTATCACTTCCGAATATTGCGCCAAGATACGCAACAAATTAATTTGAGCATCGTCCTCCATGGCATCGAATTCCTCGTCCGAGAGCTCCGCGCTTATAACATGGCTCTCGAGCAGACTATAAATCCTCGTGTGCCAGTACTGCAGATTAAGCCCCGAACCGTGCTTGAACGATGCCAGCGTGCTCATGTCATAGGCGTGGGCGGTACCGAAACGAGTTGCGAGTTCTTGAACAAGAAGTGCAGAGGTTGCGAGGCTTTGGGTGATCTCTTTCGAATCACCTATTGAGGCAGCCTTTCCCGAGTCAGCTTCTGAGAATGTCGCAACTGCCTCTTCGCATCTGTCAAGGATGGCCTGTGGTTTATAGCCTCTACCCAAAGTCTCAACCATTTTTGAGTTGTCACTAAACTTGACATGCTGCAACTTGCTGGCCAGCTCAGGATCAATAGCCTCCATGATCTTGATAAGTTGACTGAAATGGACACTGTTGTCGCTCGCCACGACGTAAATCATTTTATCGAAAGCATACTTTCTTGATCGTTCCAGCACAGCCGCAAGATCGCGAAGAAGATATGTACTGCTACCTGTGCGATCTCGAATGATGGCATGTCCAGCCTTTACATTGAGGTTCTTCATGTCAACCATCCAAGCTCCGGCACTCTCTTCAGAGAGATTCTTGTCCTTCAAGATCTGCTCGACCTCAGCCATGGTCTCAGCGCTGACCTGGGATTCTCCAGAATACTCATCAAATCGAACACCCAGTCTTGCGTAAAAAAGGGTGTAGTCCGCCACAATGACATCTCTTATGCGATTCCAGAAGGCTCTAACTTCTTCATCTCCATCTTCTAACTTCTTGAATGCTTCGTTACGTTCAGCAAAGATCCCTTTGCTTTCAATCTCCACCTGCGCCTCTCCCACGTCTTTGCCTTCCTTAGTGGCCTCGTCGCGAGCTTGTCTAGTTGCGGCCTGTTCAGGCTGGAAAAGCTCATCTATCTGGTGGTAGACTTCGAGAAGATGACCGACCGGGTCAGCATCGTATGCTTCCTGAGAGCCAAATTTGATCCATCCAACGTACAACAGAGCAATAGGCTTGCCCCAGTCACCAAGGTAGTTGATGCATGAAACGTCCCAGTCCATACACTCGTACAATCTGCTGATGAATGCTCCAATAATGGTGCTCCGCAGGTGTTTCCCCTGAAATTCACTAGTGACATTCGGTGAAGATAATTCAATGACAAGTTTTTTCTGTGTGTTGTTTTTGGCAATCGAAGTTGCTCCACCGCCATATCTCTGAGAGCGGTCAAGGATATATGGTAACAACACGCGCGCCAAAGCTACAGGGTGCACGAATACACGAAGATGCACGCCCTCGAGAAATGGCAAAGGAAACAGTGGGTGATCTGAGGGGAACTAGAAGACGTCAGTTATAATCTGTGTGCAGCAGTAGTATTTAGTTATATTGCGAACGAGTAGCAGTACCTTTTCCATAATTTCTTTAGCTACAGCGTCAGGCTTAGCCCCCGGCTTCAGCTTTGGTAAAATGACCGCTAGGTCTCCATTGAATATGTTATTTGGCCATTGGACAGATTTGTACGCATCAGCATCATCACACTCCAGAATTTCTGCCAAAATTTTCGCCAAGTATACACGGACAAGATCGAGAGGGTTGGTCAATACTTCGGCAGCCTCGACCTGAGGAACAGGCACAGTCAAGCTGAGAGAGGCCAATGTATGTTCCAAAGATTCCATCGTCATCGGCACTGAGACTGAGTGCTATTTGCGCAAGGTCTCGTAAGCTCTCAAGTGAATGCAAGTCGCGAATCGAATAGGCTTGTGCTCGGCCTGCGGAAAGTGTGCTAGAACTCGTCCAATGTAGTAATTTGTGAGCTTAGAGATGAGGCATTACTCTATCAACACCACTCTGGTATTTTTTCGTTGTCAAATATGACAAGTGCCACGTTGATCAGGCAGCAATATGTCGTGTTAATCGGTAATTGGTGCTGAATCCTGCAGCCTCAAGACCATCCATCAATCATATTGCGAGACCCACCACTAGGATTATTTATACAAGCATATAAGGTTATGCTTACATATGGCCATGCTCTCGGATGGCTTATTGGGTCCTCAACCTGAAGAGAGAAGTGTTCTTGTCACATGCAACACTTTAAGGCGGAGAAATCGCAATAACTTAAAGGAAACCGATAAATTTTACGGAGGTGATCCCTAGTTACTATGTCAGGGGAGCGTAGCCCTTACTTTAATAACTCTCGCACCTTTGGCATCAATCATAGCATTTGCGCGGTTACCTTGGCGTCCAAGTGGGGTAACTAGCCACGAGATCACCGTAACAAAAGCGAATTCAGCCATAAATGTTACAAGGATCGCGAAGAACTCTATGAACTATGCTCCGTCTGTTCAAGACTGATCGCTTGAAATCGGTCTCAAACAAGGCCTATTTTAAGTAGGTCTTGCAAAGACCGATAATGTACTATCCTATAAGAGGCCGAAGATGCTGAGATCTCTGATTAGTGGCCATGCATGGTGGGCATCAGATGCAAGCAAATGGGCTTCGGGAGTGGAGCTTCTATCAGGACATCATCGCTGCTGGATGCTAACCTCAAATGTTATTGGTGCGCTATATCTCGAGAAGACGTCTAACTCCGATCATCCACTCATGCAGAACCCTTCTTAGATTATTCATCGATATCGTAGAGGGAAATATTTTACCAGAAATAAACAACAGCCTCCGAATCGAACGACGTGAGCTCTTTATTATAGGCTTGCATGAATAAGTACTCACCAATTTCTGCGCCTGAGTTTGATGATCAGGACTTTCATCAATAAGCAGCATATTCAACGCAACTACATTCAATCGTGAAGTAGGAGCAAACCGGCCCCTACCTATACCTATCTCGCCTGATCACTCTATACACGTAGCATTTGGGAGACTCTGCGGACGATAATCCAATCCAACCAGCCAAACAACTGCGTGTGCTTGTTTTGCGATGCCAGGTACTATCTGAGGTGGGCCACAGCGCAACCGTACTTATTCATATTGTGCTTCTCAAGCTTGTTCCACGCCTTTGTAAAACGACAGGATGTGCGATTTCTCGGAACCATGGATATTTTTATACACATTCCTAATCTGCTGAAGCCGCTTTGACAATGTTTTAATCTCCCAATCCGATTTTATTCACATCACAGTCCCAGAAGATGCCATCTTCGCGTAAATTGCGTGAGGCTCGACTCGAGACACATACTATGACTCTTCACCGCATGACAAGGTGACCCACGAGGCCACTAGTTACCTATTTCATTACCAATAAAATGATACGGGTAAAAAGCAGCTTATATATTGCTTAAATGCAGGTGATGCTAGCCACAAGTGATGCAAAAAGTATTCAAGGCCGGTACCAGTTCAATGGAACCG